TCTCAACTTGAAAGGGACTTGCTGCACATTTTCACACATCTTCGAGTAACAATTTCGTGATAACAATAAAAATATTAAAATTTACAAACACCGAATGAAATAAGACAAGATTGGAAGAGAAAACAGCAATAGAAAACAATGANTATTTTGGCTCTGAGCAATATGGATGACACATACGAGTAATCATTTAACAAGTTCTGATTGCTTATGTAACGAAAAACATTTCACCGCATTATTATTATTATTATTATTATCATTCTTGTTATTATTATTATGACTTTTATTATGATCAGTAATATTAAAACAACAAAAAAGTGGCTAAGATCAATGCAAATTATTAAGAGCACCATCACCATTTTCAAACATATACAGACCAGTAACATGGAAATAAAAATTCAATCAAAAAATGATGAAAGACTTGTCATGGAATCATTTCATTAAATACAGAAACAGTCATATATGAGAACGAAAGAAAACATTCGAATTCGAACAGATGAGGAACATATCTTGATCCTAGAACACAATAGCACTGTGTTCAGATGGTGATATGATGACATGAATGAATATAGTTGGTCAACTTGACGAACATCGATATTCAAATAAGTTCCGAAGCAACGAAACAAAATGAAACATTAAAACAGAGCGTCGATGACTCAACGATATCCATTGTAATAACAACTATTTGCGCAAGACTGGAAGGTCGCAAAATTGTTGAGATTTCCTAAGCATCCACCGAAACTGAAATAAATTGACTCCAATAGCTTGGTAGAAGATAATAAGCAGTTGGAATGGAAATCATATAATGAGAAAATGATTCACTTCGAAAGCCAAAGGAACGTACTTGAATTGTTGACATGTTCCTGTGAATCTGTTGAAACTATAGCGTGGGATGGTCGAACTACACGGTCCTGCACCTGGTCGCAAGAGGCAGTAATTGGCTGAAGATGATCATGCTGGTCAAAATTGGGGATCTATCAAATTTAAAGTGACGAAAGCAAAGTTCAAGCAAATTGTAGGAGCGGATTCCGAAGCTATCAATGATCTAATAATATCTGACAGTTTGCATTATCCCAGAAAATACCACTTCTTAAATCAAACAACTGCTTCAAGGAAGTCATTCTCGTTAAGTGTTCATTAGAAACATTCATATCGCTGGATGTGGAGAACTACAAGAAATGGAATCAGAAATTCGACAAACAGCACGAGAAACTTTCAGCGAATAATACCTGGATCAGGACAACAACCAAACTGTGAGCCGCTGCTGGTCGTTTGGGAAATATATCCTTTGGGACAAAACGTATTCAGATTGTGTGTATCGTTACTAAACTTTGTAAGGAGACGGTTCATAGGCAACGGTTTTCCATGACGGCACTTCTCTGAGGAACCTAAAGCAATTCCATGTTCAACAGTCACTGGGCGTGTTTAGCTCTGATCCTCAGATCCAACTCTCAGTTCCCCTTTTCATAGATTCACATTAATCTTATTGATTTTTCCAAACCTGGAGGTAATCATTCGAATCCATTGTGAACGACCCACATGAATTTCAAAACTTGATTTGTGCTCGCCAATACCGACCTGGGCAACTGACTTCACAGTCGTTCTTTGTTATGAAGTTATTTTCGTTTCCTCCAAGACCACTGTACATAAATTCGAGACATTCGCCTTGAACGTTATTGTAATACCACCGCGACAATTGAGCGCTTCCTACTCCAACCACCAGCTCTTGCTCACATACATTACCTAAACGAAGTATGCCCTTGTGCATTGGTCATAGGTGATGCATCAAATGTGACTGTGTAGATATATGGGAGATTTTAATCAGGATTTAATGATGGCAAGTTGCAAATTTAATTTCTTAAATTCAATGAACTCACTCTTTACCTATTCGTTTGCAGCACACGCTCGATCGTGAATCAGCGCCAATGTGACAATAGTGAGTGCTCGGACATGACTGTGAGTTCAGGCATCGTACGATATGTCCACTGACTCTCAACGGTTCACTGCCGCGGAAACATGCTTTTGATACTGCGAGTTCTGGAAGATGAATCAAACGAGTTGATTGATCCCATGATTTCGGCAGATCGTAAAAAAACTGTATACCGCATACCAGGGAAAATCATTCTGTCTCAGAGTATCAATAGTTACCCATGACGATTGATTCAGTCGTAGGAATGAGTGAATTCCTTACAAATATCTCAAGAACTGATCCAGCTGGAAGGCGAATTTGAAAACATTGAATAAAACAACATCGATCACGATATGATCGAAACGGGATACGAACAAATTCTACCTGCAAGACAAGTTTTTTCACACTGGCGTTGACTGAGGAAATTGTTCTCATTTCCTTTACGGCCACGATAGTTGAACGGTAAACATTTCTGTTCAGTTGAACTGTAATACCATCTTGGTAAAGACTTTTCGCCTTCACCTTCGGTTTTAAGCGCCTTGCATGGATCACCTGAAAGGATCAACATACTGATCTGACAGTTCGAGAAAATCGCAAACAAACTGGCTATGCTGCAACCATCACTACGGCATTTGAGAATATTTCGAGGGGATGCACTCAAATAATCGGTTCTTTTGTAATGAATGGTATTGTGTAAATCAAGTTCGAAAAATATGAGGGTGTGACATAAATTAGGTGGAACCTGTTCGTTTAGGACAGCAAAAACTACTTCGCTTGAACGGTTTATTGCCAGCCAAACAGAAATATCCTTTGCCACAACTGTTTGCGATTAGTGGATTGCAACGTTTCAGCTTCGAGCCATCCTTACGGATTGCTTTACCTTCGATACATGGACTCACCAAAACTGAAATCAACCCCTCCCACACTCACTGCACTCACACGACACACGAATTCATGGTGTATTTATGGACATTTTGGTGATTCACCGTTTGTGATTGAATGAG